TTTATATATATGGATATCCTTATATTTTAAGTTGATAATAAAAATCATAATTAAAATAATAAATATTTTAAAAATACTAATAATAAAAATGTAGACTTAGTTATTATTAATAATAAATAGTGATATTAATGATATCAATAATAATAATAGTAGTATTTATGATAATAACAATAATGATAGGGTGTTAGAGCAACTTCAATGAGAGTTGATTGTCCCATGAAACAACTCAAGCTCCGGTTTATTGCTATTGGACGACTCTAACGTGGCAACATGACTTGCTTGAAGAAGAGAGAGTTGTTTTCTCAAGCAACCGTTCCTTACCAGATTTCAAGCAGATCTTATTGAACATATTTAAGAACGTTTTGAAAATAATAATGATGAAAATTAATTTCGTATAATGTTTATGTATTTACTATTGCTTTATTTTATTTTTAATATCTACTTATTGTCTATTTTTTTCTTGTAATTTATTTTCTTTCATTGTAGTACAATTATCCTTTTTAATAAAAATTTAAATTTGGTTCATAAATGATTAGAAAAAAAATTCTAAAAGTTGAATTTCTTAAAGTTTCTTACAATTGGAGTAAATTTGTGTTTGAGTTGCTTAATACTGACATGGTACACTGAGGACCATTTTTTTCATTTTTTAATGTATGAAGCAACTCAAATGAGTTGCTTCCTTTGAAAATGCTCTTAATGATAATAACAAAGATAAATACTTTTAAATTATGATAGTATTAATATTATTATCTTTCTATGTTTTAAAAAAATTATTATATTATATCATTATATTATATAAATAATTTTATTACCTTACTATTTTTTTATAAATAAAATATATCATATAAAAATACAAAAATAGTACAATAAGTTTATAATATTTATTTATATTTCAATTAGAGACCACGCAGAAAAATCTCAAACAGTAAAAAATGAGATTCTCTAATTTGTGAGATGCATATCAGTTTCTAATCATATATAAAGTAGAGATTGAAATTTGGTCTCTTATTACATTTAATTTAGGTACAATAATAAGCAGTCTCTATAATTATGTTATTTGTGACTGAAAATTAGGATGGCAACGGGGCGGTTCGGGTACGGGTTTCATGATACCCGTTCCCGTCCCCGCAAGTTAAATTCATTCCATTTTCGTACCCGTATCCGTAAACGAAAGACGCCTAGTGGTTAGCCAACATTCTTTTGAGTTTGGGTTTTAAATTGTAAAGTAAAGAGTATCGTTTTCCTTTCTCACTTATTGGACACTGACATCATAGAGTGTCAGAAGTCAAAAGCCACCTTGCTGTGAGTATGGTACGAGGCAGCATTTAATTTCGACCTTATATCTCATAGACATTCAATTACAAATTAATAAGTCATGAGATATAATATTATGTATTCCTATCCCTCCCACCTCCGTACCCTCTATAATTATTTTACGCCAATAAATAATACTACCTTCATACTAAAATATTTTTATAAATTTGATGAAATACATTAGCTATAAATTCTTTAACATATATGTATGTAATTGGTTAGGAGAATAAATAATAGGCTTAATTATACTTTTGGTCCTCCTAATTTAGTGTAGGAGTAATTTTGATCCTCATAATTTGAATTGCTTAATTTTGGTTCATAAATTTAAATAATGGACAATTTTAGTCCCACAAAAAATTTACCGTCCAAAATTTAACGGACGTTAATGATACGGATTTTATGCTAAATAAACATTAATTATATATTATTTAATTTTTTACATGTCAAATGATTTAATATTCAAATTTTAAATTCATTTATTTTATATTTCTCTTTCTTATACGTGTTACTGTTGCAACTGGAACGACCCGTTCTCCAAGCAGAACGGCCCGTTTTGATCCATCGTCATGTGTGTATTTTTACATCCAGAACGACCCATTCTAAAAGGAGAACAGGCCGTTCTGCAAGTGCTGCAAGGAGAACGGGTCATTCTGAGAGGAGAACATGTCATTCTAGATCCAGTTTTACATCATGCTCAGATTCAAAATGCAAAAAAAAAAAAATAACAGCTTATTATTCGATTCCCCGGGAACCGAATTCTGAACGTGAACAGTGAAAGGTGTTACTTTGATAAATAAATTGGTATAGGTGCTTTTTTGGTAAAAAAATTTTTAAAAAAAATTCTAATTTAGTGAAAAATTCTCACTGCGATTGATATCAATACCCTTTTCATTTTGTTTCCAATATTATTTGAATTTAAATTTTTAATATTAAATAATTTGACATGTAAGAAATTAAATGATATATAATTAATGTTTATTTAGCATAAAATTCACATTATTAACATCTGTTAAATTTTGGATGGTAAATTGTTTGTGGGACTAAAATTGCCCATTATTTAAATTTATGGACCAAAGTTAAACAATTCAAATTATGAGGACCAAAATTACTCCGACATTTTAGGAAGACCAAAAGTGCAATTAAGCCTAAATAATATTAATTATGAAAGAGAAGTAGTATAGAGAATACATTTTATTTGGTTAAGAGATAGATGTGTGTATTAATTAAGAGAGAAAAGTAATATATTTCGAATAGTTTTAAAAATAAAATCATATTTTATTTTCTTTATATTAATATTTTAAAAATAAAAAAAAATGAGTAAAAAACATTTTCATGTGAAAACATTATATATATATATACTGTTTTTATTCTTTGTTCTCTATTATAATAAAAAAAATATTTTTAAATATAAATAAATATTAACTATTCTTGTCTCATTTAATAATATTCTTCCTAAAACACCCCTTCTTTAATGCATGACATTTTGAGTTACACTACTTCTTTTAACATTTATAACAAGAACAATTTAGAAAAAAAAATATTAGATAATTAGTAAAATTTATTATAAATAACTAATTTCTTTAATATGTGTAAAATCAATTTTTTCGTAATAATAAGAGTGATGAATAAGAGAACATTGTAAAATAAATATAATTTTTCAAAACAGGAAAAAAAATCATAAAATTTTGATGCTACTATAATATAATATACAGAAACGAACATAATTCTTGAATTAAACGACACAATAGATGTTTAAAAATAAATGCAAATCATTATAAATAAAATTAAATGGTACAATTTGTCTAATATTGTGATATTTTCTTCTATATTTAGCATATCTACTAGCTTACCGAACATATTTATTAGTTTAAATTTTACCCTATGAATTTGGTTAGAAAGTAAAAGAGTATACCATATTTCTTTCTTTATACCCTCCCCCACAGCACACTGTTCTCCTTAATTTTCTATCATTGTTACTTCTACCACCCTCATTACTACCATAATCACTTTCTCTCCTGTTTTCTTACCATCCAAAGTTATGAACCTCTCTTACTAGTAAATATCTCATTGATATTGGGATAGTTACAAAACAAAATTGATGTTATTAACTCTCGGGTTTTTTAGTAGTTGTTTAAAGGTTTTATAAGCAAACTAATGAATACAATAAATTATTTTATTCTCTATAAAATGATTATGGAGCTTGTATTATATCTTTTTCATATTTATTCCACAATTAATGCATACCAATTATCATATGTGAACGTGTAAATTAATTTAAAATTAAATAGAAAGTAAAGTTTAATATTGTTTTAAACTTTTAAAGCATCAAATAAATAAAAACAAACCTTAAAAAATTGACAATTAAAAAGAAACAAAAAGAAAAACTACTTCGATCATAATAAATTAAAATAAGTCTTATAAAAAAAATTGTTCCTTACCATCAAGTAAACTCTCAAAATGTACTTACAGACGATACATCTAATATTGTACGGTTCTACATTAAATAGTATAATTAAGTTGCTTGCCCTTCGCTTTTACGATTTGTTATATTAGACAAGGTAAGATGCCGCACGCCTCATCATCAACTGGTAAATAATTGATAGCGCAGAAATAAAACCATCAAATAAAGCCCCACCATCAGAACAACTCAAGTTATGTACTTAAGCCGATGGAAAAGCTATTTCCAAGTTCTGAAATGCCAATGCTCATCTCAAGCATCTTATCTTGTAAGTGATTTGTAGTGATTTTCAGAGAACACAATTGCTGAGCAAACAGACTGTAGGAAAGAATAGGAAAAAAAATCAACATCAAAGTAAACACAAGTACTATTTTATCTTTTACATTTTGATATAACTAGAAGCGTGCCACAATTAGGCATATTGTTCGTGTTTTCAACTGTCCAGGAACAACTGTATTCTTAACATCTCCAACTCGTGAAAATAATCACAAAATAAAAGTTTGATATTTCCTTTCAACGAATTTAACACTTGGCTAAAGAGAGACTCTTGTTTCGAAGGAGCATGAATCATGTCATTTTGTAGGCATGGTGACCAAGTACAATTCATTTTTTCAAGGAAATAACGTCAATCTATTCTAATGAACGTTACCGAATCACGAAAGTATGCTGTAGCTAGAAACACGAAGGCACCGTATAACAGGAAGAATTCAAAAACCAAAAGGAAAACGGCAAGTGCAGGGAGATAACAAAAAGAGAGAAGTGACACATTGGCCATGGTGGCTAACCTGTGCATATATCAATAACCAGAATGTGATAAGTGACAAAATTCGAAAGTCAAGACTACAGCAATAACTATATATGTAACAAAAGTTGGAAAAAAAAAATGATTTAAAGAAGACAAACTGGCCTCAAGCCTATAGCCAGTTCATACATCCAATCCTCTCCTTCCAAATGCTCGAGAATGGATTGGGCTCGGTGCTGTTGCAGAACAGTCACAGTCAAACACTTGATGCCAATTTCTCTGATTCTAGGCGGCATTATCACACCTGCTGTTTCGGTTAGATATCTACACAGGAAAAAACTTATCTGCAAGCGACAATCTGGGAGCAGCAGATTCATACAAAACAACTGCATCAGAGGCTCTGATCGCTTTATCAAGTCAGAAATGAAGAGGCACATCAGCAGCAAGGGTAGCATCTCTGCTCATTGTCCATGGCTCAACACTCAAATATCATCCTCAATCTTTTGGACATTCCATAGTAGCTGCGTCAGAACAGTTACAGCTTCAATACATTTCAAGTCCTAAACACTAAATTGAATAAGGAAAATGCATCACAGAAATATACAACCAATAAAACCAAAATTGACCCAATACAGACATAAATTCATATATAGAGAACTGTTTTTTTAACAAAAATAGAAGTCAGAGTAAAAAGAAGTTTCCAATATAGAAGATGATATCAGATTTAAAATGTTTAGTACAAAGCAAACTCATGACGCAACAGAACTACTTGGGCTCACTTACAACATGAAATAACACAATGGCTCACCTCTTAAATATTTGCATTGAAGAGCCATGATCCTATTGCCATGAAGGTTGCTTGTAACTTAATCTCTCAGTTCCATCCCATCCACCATCAGGTTCCTTTCTTTTCAATGCACCTGCCATTGGAAACATCTTCAAGTGGTCCTCCATCGAGGCCTGTGAATTGGGAACAGACATTTGCCTCAACCCTGAAGGCAGTCTATCATCTCTTCGTTCCGTATCGGTACCACCAGGGCCTGAATTAAGATCCAGACTTTGACTTCCCCATTTTCTGCTGTCAGGAATCACATTACTTGTACCACCAGGGAGGCTCATAACATATGGACGGGGATACGAGGATGAAACAACACCACCAGGCCCAACTGGCTGCGAGGGCATGGTAGGAAAGCATAGCCCACCCACAGTTGAGGAATCCATAAAAGCTGTTGAACAACCAGAAAAGGAGTTTGAAGATAATGGAAAGTTGGTTTCAAATGGAAATCCTGGATATGGAAAAGGTGTAGTAGGTGCATAAGCAACAGCTGGAGAGGATGAAAGCACTGGTCCCCTGTAGATTTCAGGACCAAAAGAAGTGCTACCTGTGGGACCCATTATCCGTTGTGCCCCAGCACCAGCTACATAACTCTGCTCCCCTCTACCAGACAGAAGAGGCGGGACAGTAATTGCAGAATAAGAATTGCCTGGAGGAAACCATGGAGAATAATTCCCAAATTCAGCGTTAGTAGTTCTCGTGCCATGAACAGCAGATGGGAATGGTATAGTACTTTTCATCTGCTGACTACGTGCTGGGACTTCACTGCCAACTTCATCAAGACCTGGCCCGTTATTTAAATCAAAGTCTCTTGAGACACTTCCACCATTAGATAACCCACTGGAAAGTGAAGGCTTACTTGGTAAAGGAATATCCATTTTGCTTATAGAGAAAGTACCAATTTCAGGAGTCTCATCAACCCTGTTCAAATCAAGATCAAGACCAACGGCGCTACGATCAAGTGGTCCAGATTCTAATGAACCAAATGAACCACGTGAACCATCATCTTCGAAACTCCTTTCATCAGCCACATTTAAGTCAAAATCTAAGGGAGGGCGACCCTGTTTGATAGAAGTGACATCAACGGAAGGAATATCATTAGTAGATGGTGTCTCAGAATTTTTCCTAGGCTCAGCAGGCCGGAATGCACTTGTAGCAGCAGACCCTTTCCATCCAAGTTCCCCCTTAATCCGCAATGGGTTTTCAGGTGGAACAACCGGCCCTTTGGCAGCAGATGCCACTGTAATTGAAGAATGGAAGGCCCCAGAGATGGACGAAATGGGAAAAGGCAATGGGCAAGGAAGATGAACTGCAGATGATGTGATTGGATCTTCCTGTCTAGCAATCTCCCCTTGGCTTAGATCATCTACAGGATAGCCTTCATTCAAATCAAAGTCCAACTTAACAGCAGCATCAGACCCAGCGGCAGAACGTGGATGCTTCTCTCCTGCAACCTCAGATTGATTTGCATCCAGCTTATGCTCACATGCCTTGGACACTTCATTCTCTTTTCTAGGCATTGTTGATAAATTTGGGTGAACTGTTGAGCCAGAACACTGACCATTGGCCTCTTCTCTGTCCATAGTATCTTCAGCACATTCATTAACATCATCTGAAACGGATGAATCCTGCTCCATTCGTCTTTCATCAGCCTCAATCACAACTGACTTCATGTCATCAGCATTTTCATCCCTGGGTACCATTAAAGCATTACCAGAAGCAGGTGACTCCTTTTTAAAATATGTAGACTCATAGTTTTCTGCAACTGGAGAAGCTTTTTGCACTAGCATACCTGTACCTGTTGCCATTTCTTCACTAATCGGGTCCTCATTATCAACACATGCGGATAACTCAGGATGTTTTTCACCTAATTCATCTTTAGCCTCAGAACTAGCAACATCTTTTGAAACCAACATTTTCTCGTTCTCGATGATTTCCTCATTCAAGTGACCAACTTTCTGATCATTTAAAGAGGAAGACCTTGATTTCAATTTAGAGTCTGAACATCCAGAATCTGCATTAGTCTCATTTTTAGCTAGCAACATAGTTTCAGAAGTATCCTCCTTAGTTTCTGGCCGTATGCATGGACCTTCAGCATTTTGTAACAAATCTGTTGGGGAGATAATTATCTGAGTTCTACCATCACCAGTTTTTTCTGCACAACTGGGTGAAATGGTTTCACCATCCCCTGAAATATCATGTGAGACTGCAGTAGCAGGATGCCTCAAATCATTTTTTATCTGTAATGAATCAACTGTATTCAAAAGATGCTCTCCAGTAAGTCCACCATCCAATTGTCCAAGAGCGCGCACAGCTGCTTCACCAGAATGTTTTAACTTGGAATCATTGTCAGAGCTCAATTCATCAATAGGAGACTTTCTCTCAGGGGATGCCAAAGGTGAGGCATTTTCAGATCTGGATATTTCCCCTGCAGCCACAGTAGCTAGTAGGTTCATCCCATCATCTCCAAGGGACACAGATGCACTTGCTTCAGAAATTTTCACACAGCTTTCAACTAATGCATTCATGGGACTTAAAGAAGCATCATAAGTCTGCCCTGATCTGGAAACAAACCCAGATGGCAAACTAGGTTTCGACGTTTCAGCTACTTTATCACCATCTTCATTTGCCCTGCATCGCTCCTCAACCGTTGGAGATCCCTTACTTTCGTCAGCACCAATCAGAGCTTCATTAGCATCAGATGCATCATTCATCATATTTGACACATGGGCCAGCAAACAGTCAGTTTTAGTTTTCACTCTTCTGTCCAGATTATCATTCCTGTCTGCAGGAGACAAAGCTTTGCTGCATGTGATAGCTGGTTCTTCAAAAGAGCCGCTGCTAGCTCCCCTTGAAGGACTGCGACCAGTGTTTGGCAACCTGAGAATCAACCGCTGATTATTCCCTTGATCAGTAGGGGGCTGGTCAGCAGATTTTTCATGGGACACTCGAGTTGGTGAAACTTTTTCAGATGGTGAATTTCTAGATGAACTTTTAGCAGAGCTGTGCTCCTTCTGCACTACTGCAACACCAGTCCCATGTAGACCATTGCTTGCCTTCCGAGTTCGAGATGAACCACCAGGAATTTTGCTCACACTTGTTGACACTGCAGTTGAGCTCTTCGCATCTTCCCTGCAAGAACCAATAGTTTTAGCATGTTCACTAGAACAAGATATACTGTTATTCTGAGATTGGCTAGAACTGCTGCTTTTCTCCTCCTTTATAGGTGTAAGTGGTAGATCTGACGTTGGGGCCCCAACCAAGACTTTACTGTTTTGATCTTTTGAGTTACTGCCTGCTGAGGCAATCATTGTTTTAGTTGAGGTAGAAGATGAAGAGGACTTGGACAATGCTTCTCCAGCACTTAACTTAGATTGGGAATTTTTAGATATTACGGGTTGAAATGCTGTGTTCTTCACAACATTATCAGATGATGATCCTCTATCAGATGATGATCCTCCTGTTTTCCTATTTCCAACATGAGGAGACTCCGAATTTGCCGGCTTTGCTGGCCAAGAAACAGTGCGGTTTGAACCAGACTTCGAATCATTCATATTCATTTCAGCTTCCACACGTCTCTTCCATGTGTCTACTAAACTCCTAGCTTTCCTCTGAATTTCAGAATTTTTGTGGACACGCAATTGATTGACAGACTTCCCCACATTACAGGTTTGTAATGCATGAAGGTTCACAGGAAGCTTATCCAATGCACGAAGTAAAGCTAACAAAAATTCTTCAGCAGACTTATCACTTTCTTTAGGCATATTTCCATCACCAATTTTGCCCTTATGGGCCTCCTGCAGCCATTCATCCAACACAGGCAAACCCCTAAGCTGTACAAACCAGGAAAGACAGTCATACCGGTCTGTAAGTGCAATTACATCAACAAGCATTATCCGCCCAGCCAAATCTATTTTTTTATCAGCACTATCAGGTTGCATAAGATGTACCAGTCTTTGAACTCCCTCAAAGTTCACAAGCCCACCTTTATCAGTAATTTTAGCAATCTCAGACTTTAACATGCTCTCCGGTCTAAATTGACCAGAATCTCCATCCTCTATCTTAAATAACCGTTCTTTTTTAGATGAATCAGAACCTTGATCACCCCGCTCTCTCTTTTTCCCCTTACCCTGTGCACCAAAGGAAGAACTATTTTGAATGTTGTCAGAACCAGATTTCAATGACTGTGTTGATGTTGGACCATTCAAGGGTTTTGGAGAACGGCCTCCTGACTGCACAGCCCCATGCATCTCTAGTTTTGTCTTGTCTAATAGCTGGTTAACTTCTTCCTGTCGTTCCTGAATTCATCAGCAGATCAGAAATGTATAAATAAAATCATTACACACAATTATTTTACAGACAGAGGTGGACAGAGAGAGAGAGATAAGAAAACTAACATTAAGGTAGTCCTTATCAGTTAGCCACCATAAACAATTGTTCTCAATGTCGTAAACTCGTCTACAGACAAATGCGGATATCCCTGAAGGAAGTTCAACACCTTTACGAAGAAATGCGACTTTACACGGATGGAGTAATGATGCAGCAGGTGTTTCATCCTTATGAAAGGAGTAAAAGACTTCGTTCGGTGCAGCTTCCAGCACAATTCCTTTGGCAAGCTTCAAATCAGCAGGTCGGTAAAGCCAATTCACTTCTAAACTTGGACTTTCTTCTTTATCAAATGTTAATTTGCGAATTATTCCAATAAAAGGAGGGGAGTCCCTGGGTGGCTTGAAAAGTGCACAATCACCAGCACGAATCTTGCGTCCATCCTACAATGATCATGCCCAGTGATAAAATAAGTCTACATATATTCGAGCAAAAGGACAAGTTTAGAAGTAATTAGTGTGTAGATAAAATGACAAAAAAATAAAATAAAATTACGAAGAAAAAAGAAAACCACTGTAGTAAGCAGAGACAATATCCATAATCCATTTTGACGGGAAAAAAACACAAATGGTAACAGCAATTAAAAGTATACAACAGAAACCTAAGAGCGGAAAAAAAAAATTAGGCACCGGCGCCGACAGAAACACATCAAGTGAACAATTATGTCGTGAAACAACAACCATCTAACACAACTGACTACCTGCACTGCTTAATAATCCATAATCCATTCAATAACACAGTAGGCCTGTGAAATCTCAATAAGGCAGAAATATTCTCCCGATTTCACCGAAAACCGGAGATAAAAAGTATGAACCCCAGTCAAAAATGTACCAAACAATCAATCCAACCATCAACACACAGTTACAATACAGCTCCAAAAAAATAAATACCCAAATCAACAACCACGAATCCCAAACCAAAGTCAACAAAGAAAACAACAACAGCTTTCCCTCAAACGCTGGCGAGATTTTCGTCATTCAAACAAACACAAACGAAACCGAAACCAGAGTACATCACAAGCACAAACAACCCCAGTAATGCCAACAACCCTAAACACCCTACACGTAAAACAACAAAACGAGTATTCCCCAAAACAAAAACAAAAGCAAAGACCGCATCTCATCTAGATTAAGATCAAAAAAAAAAAAACAGACACCCACAACCGATGACAATAACAACCTTTCTCATCACACCAAAAAAGAATTAGGTCAAAACCAAAAACAAAAAACACAAAAGTGACAAAACAGCAGAGTTTATTTAGAATTAATCGAATCGAAAACGCACGGAATCGAGAAGCGAGAAGAAAAGCGCGTAAGGCGGTTAGATGTGTATATATACTTTGGATATAAATTGAGACGGTGAAGAATCGATGGGTGCTACAGTGGTCGCGTTAGCAGGTACAGGCCACATGTGCCGGTTGTGTTTCCACTCCTCACGACAGGACCCATGCATAATAATCCTCCATCTTCCGAGTCGATCCCAGCTTCGCCCCTGAAAAGAAACATCAATTCGAAATCGAATTCGCACGCCTCGGAGAAACCCTAGATTCGGAGGAACGAAGGGGAAACCCTAGATCAGGCGCTGCGTCGCAGATCTCCTCCTGGAATCCGCCATCGACGAAGGAGTGAGAGGGGTTTTCACTTTTGAGGGCTCACTTGGGTGTGGTTGGCAATTGCGAAGCGGTAGGTTCTTCTCCGCGTTCCAGATCGATCGATCGCTCTGGAAATAGCCAAAATCCAGAGATTTTGTGCGAAGGAACCGCGAGATAGAGAGAGAAAAAGAAGAGAGAGAAGAGAGAAGAAGGGGGCGATGCCCTTGCCTTACGCCCAGATTTTGTTGAGAGCAAATTTTGGGAAATTTTTTCACTCTATCTCATTAGATTAGTGAGAGAGAACAACACAACCAAAGAATAACAATTAAAATTATATTATATTATTATTAATTTCATTATTCATCGCCACGATTCCACCCTAAAACGACGTGGGCCTGCTAAACGACACCGTTTGCTGCTTCCGTTACGGACTCACATGTCTTCTGCCTTCTGCCTTCTGCCTTCTGCCTTCTGCGTCTACTTTACTCTCTCTCTCTCCTATGCGACCTCTTTTCATTTTTCTAACATCATCCAATATAATTACCACTTACTATAATTATTACAATTTAATTTCTATGCCTATAAGGTAAACGTAATTTTATCGCTCTATATAATAATTTATGATTAGTTTATTACATGACATTTAATAATTTATAATTTATGTACAATATCTTCTCTAATTATTATTATCATTATTATATTTTTTAATTTTAATATATATATTTTAAAATGTATTTTTTATTTATATTGATAAGTTTCTTTTAATCTTTGTCATTTTTTATTAGAGGCTAATTTAAAATAAATATATTACATGTATTGAAAAATAATAAAATTAAAATGAGATAAAAAAAAATTACAAGGACTGTTACCAAAATTAAATATTATAAGGACTAAACTATAAACAGTAGCGGTGTCAAAAACAGCTTAGTCCAATAGGATAGATTGACAAATTTGTTCAGGTCATGATCACAAAAAAAAATGTGACCCAAATTAAAATAAGGTTAATTTGGCCACGAATTAAGTAGAGTCATTAATTTTTAAACTCAAAACTTTTTATTTTATTTTAGTATTTTTTTAAAATTAAAACAAAATAAAAATAATGATTTAACCTAATAGGATTGACAAACAATCCAGATTGGACATTTAATAATTCTCAAAAATAGTATATTACATCATTAAAAATATAATTAAATTTTATTATTGTTGCTATAATGCTACTACTCAATTATTTAAAATTTGATCATAATCTATCTTATTTACTATCAATATAGTAATACTTTAACTTCTAATCTCAAATAGATATGGAATTATATATGTTTAATATAAAAAATATATCAAAGAATTGAGGATGTTAAGCGTAGATTGGAAGCACTATATTTTTTCCTTGTAAATATATATCATATATTGATGGTGCCTTTTCAGGTGCAACTACTTATTTGTATGTCTTAGTTTAGTGTGTATGAAGTAGCAAATGACACATCTCCGTTATCATATTGGGAGCTATATACTATTTCTCAATTACCCCTTACCTTTCTTACTTTCGCATTAATTGAATATGCGAGTTTCATGTAGTTTTGTAGGCATACTCCATGAGCCCAAGTATTCTTTTCATTTGGTGGCGGGCTTGAGGGAGAACATCGGATGGCCCAAATCAAAATCATGAACACATGTTTGGTGTAAAGAATACATGAAATAAAATATTATTCTATCTTATTATTTATTATTTGATACTATAGTTTTACTCTTTCTTTTATTTTATATTGTTAATTTGGTGTATTCTTTTATGATGGGATTATTATTCTATTATATTATAATTATTTATTTAGTATTTGATATGATAATTTTTATTATGATCAGAGAAAAGTAAATATAATTTATTCATAGATGATTGTTGTTTTATACAATGATACAACAATCAAAATGGTCAACAAATAAAGAAATAGAATTGTAATAAATCAAAACAATTAATGTTATTATTCTTTAATCCTAGTAGGCTGTGGCATGGATATCAACCATGTTCAACTTGGACGGGATGGAATGAAAGAGAGTTAGTAATAACTTTTACACGTATGTTAACTAGTTGATCTAAGGAGCAAATTAATAGTAGATGAACAATACCCTCTTAAACCGTATCCCAAACTAATGATAATCGATCTTGATGTGTTTTGTACAGTCATGCAAAGTTGGATTTTGAGATATTTGGATGGCAGACCTGTTGGTACAATACAAACAAATTGGTTTGGAGACTAGAATGTGAAGATCCTACAATAAGTATATTAGCCATTGAATTTCAAACAGAGTTGCCTAAAGCTCTGTACTAAGCCTTAGATGAAGATCTGAAAATTGTTCCTTGTTTCTTAGATCTCCAAGAAATAAGAGCACGGCCAAGGAAAATAGAAAACCCTATGACAAACTTCCTAATGCATCCAAACAAGATGCCCAATCTGAATCACTAAAGGTAGTTGGCTTGAGATTAGAAGAAGCGGGGAAAAATAATCTTTTTTCGTAGTGACCTTTTAACATATTACAAAACCCAAATGGTAGCTTCATGATGAGACTTCATTGGAGTAGAGACATAATGGCTCAATTTATTCACAGCAAAAGTAATGTCTAGTATGGTATTAATGAGGTAAAAGAGACAACCAATTAGTCTTTGATAGGATGCTAAGTCAGAAAAAAGATTACCATTATCTTTGACAAGTTTCATGGTATGTAACAAAGGAGTAGTGATAGGTTTGTATCCCACTAAACCACTGTCATCTAACAATTCAAGAGCATATTTTCTTTGATTAAGAACAATTCTAAAGTGTGGTCTAGCAATTTCAAAGCCAAGGAAAAAATTTAAGATCTCTAATGTCCTTGATTTAAAACTGCTAGTTGAGGAAGTTCTTAACCTACTATATTTCTTGAGATCATCACATGTTGGGACTACATCATCTATATATACTAGTAAAATAGTGATGTGAAGATCGATGGCCTTGATGAAAAATTAATAGCTTAACTTGGACTATGTGTACCCAAGAGACATCAAGGTTGTGGTTAACTTGGAATTCCAATGTATACTTGCTTGTATAAGGTCATATAATGATTTGATAAGCTTGCATACTTGGTCGGATTTATTTGCGTGGAAACCTTGCGAGATTTGCATGTAGACCTCCTCTTCAAGATCTCCATCGAGAAAAGCATTATTTATATCTAGTTGATGTAAAAGCCAACCCTTGGCAGCAACTAAAGCAAGCACAATCCTAATTGTAGTCAATTTTACAACTAGAAAAAAGGTCTCAAAGTAATCCACATCTTCAATTTGGCTATAACCCTTTGCCACTAACCTAGCTTTATACCTTTCAATTCTCTTATATGGTTTATATTTGATTTTGTAACCCATTTACATCCCATAGTTGCTTTCCAAGAGATAGATCAGTTAGGATCCATGTTTTATTCACTTCAAGGGTTGTTATTTCTTAATCCATGGCATGTTTCTAGCAATCATGTTTGGCAACTTGACAATATTTTGTGGTTCAACATGATTGTAAATGGAAAGTACAAAAGATTTGTGCCTAGGTGATAGGTAATCATAGGTTAGAAAATTGGAGAGAAGGTAAGAGATACTTGATGATGAGTTGACATGCAAGTGAGAATTGTCTATGTTGTAATGGTAATCTTTGTTGTAGTTTGGTGGTTTTCTTTGTCTTCTTGAAATTTTGGTTGATGCTTCAATGACTTGAATATCTAGTTGAGGACTAGGCTTAGGAGGTATAAGAGAAAAATCAGTATTGGTTGACTAGGTGGGGAGTCATAAAGAGAAAATATCACAAGTGTCATAACTGGATTTAGGAAAGGGAAAAAATGTTTCATGAAAGACCACATTCTTAGACAAGAATACCTCATGGGAATGCAAATCAAGTAATAAAAAAGACCTTTGATTCCTTCTTTGTTGCCTAAGTAAATGCATTTTCTGGCATAGGGCTAAAATTTTGTTCTATTTGCAGTTATGGTTGAGGCAAAATAAAATGAACCAAAAACTATTAGGTGGGTGAAGTAGAGACTTTGGGCATATAAGAATTGAAAGGGTGAAATATTGTGAAGATTTTGAAAAGAGTAAAAGGTTGAGTAATTTATCTTGTATGAGTACATGAACTAGTTATATATACTGTATAATAATAACAATTAATCATTATATATTAAACACAAATAATTATCTTGTACAATAGTGTTTTTAGGAATTTTTCTTTGACAGAAATTTTTTTAGCGATTCTTTTATCTTATTTAATTCAATTTTTATTTATCATAGTTATTTATTAAATGAATTTTAATATTTAAAATAAATTAACAATAAATAAATATAATCTTGTGATACAACATAAATTATTTATCTTAAATCAAAAATATAATTTATATGATTAAAACTATTAATTTATACAAATTTTAAATATAATTTATATATTCAAACATATTATTTATTTTCATATAATCTTTTGTAAATTTTAATTATATATTCTATTTAATAAAAATATTTAAAATTATCAATATTTTTTATAATAACTTGTATTGTGCTTGATCTTTAAACTTTAAGGTTTTAGGTTTGAGTCTTATTCTTTAAGGATAATTAATTTTTAATATTATTTTTTATTATTTAAAAATTTAAGAATAAAATAATATAAAAAAATGTATACATCAAATGAGACTATCACTTTTATATATGTTATAAATTATAGATAAACATTTAATTTGTGTAATACAAATAAAAAAAATATTATCTAATATATGTTTTTTTATCAATGATTGCTACGACAAATCAACAATTGATGTGGTTTATAAGTGAGAAACTAAAAAGAATTATAGTACTAAAAATACATTAAATATATATTAAATTGAAATTTCAAATTATTATGAAGTCCTTGCATAAAAATTTTATACTCACCTTGTGGAATTTCCATAATCCATAACATCTTAGCTCATAACAATAACTCCATACCTGATTGTCATGAATCATTTTCTCTAATATTTTATTTTTTAATATTAAAAATAATTACTGAGTTCTTTTTAAATTTAATCCACTAATGTTAAAAAAAAGTTAATGAATAAAAATAAGTAACAACCATGTAACAAAATAATATTTTTCAAGATTTTCTTTATCTTCATTTTCATCAGACCAAATTAAAATAAAATATTTAAATATATTCTTAGTCCTTTAAATTTAGAATAATTTCTTTAGGTCCTTCAAATTTAAAATTGATCATTTTATTCTTATGACTTAAAAAAAATTGGTTTAGTCTTTCATGACCACTAGTAACACAATTGACAGTGAC